CACCACAGACAAGAAGTTCTATGTGTTCTTCAAGAGGTTCCTTCCAGAGCCCCTGTTTCATCGCTTGCTATCTCGTGCCCACAAGAACAGCAAGCTGGAGTTTCCAAATGGTCCAGTTGTTATGTTCAAAGATGTTGGCAAGTTCTGGATGAGTCCCAGGCAGCCCTACAGACTGAAACTGATGAAAGAAGAGGCGATCATTGAAGTGACATTCAGCTCCAGGTAATTTTAGAAAAAAACTCATGAACTTTAGTAGAATCTGGTTATAAGGTGATATTCAAAGGATACTTCCCCAGCTCTTCTAGCCTAGATATACCATTAAATTCCAATATTTATTCTCCTTTATTGTTATACATACCTTCAAATGTTACTTGTGAGTATATTTATATTTAAACCATACAAATACAAGTATCTCAAAGTTGATTTTCATTAGTTCCAAGGTTTAAAATACATGTACGTTCAACTTATTTTTTCTAGAAGTTCAAAGCTGGTGTTGATTAGGTTTACACTGGAGTGGCTCGAAAACAATTTTACCTTCACTATTTTAAGTCTGTTACCACTGTTAAGAGGTGACCATTGGTTCAACTGTTCAATTGCATGTTGCTAAACAAAGCCAATCATTTTGTAATTAAATTTTACAGCAACATACAAGGAGTGAAGCCAGCAGATGTATTGTGTCAAGTGTTTTCCATGGTTGATGGAATTTGTAAAAGGGATTTCTCCTTTGTCAAGTTCCACTGTGGACCAGCCTGCCCTTCACATGAGTGTCCTGGTTACCAAGACAACTACATGCACACACCACATCAACACACCAGACGTCATGTGTATAATGTCATGCCTGGACGCCAGGGAGATAACATTGCCTCCCTGTACTGTGTAAACAACAGTTTTGAAGAGGAGTTGGAAGAATGGATACCATAGATTAATTAGACAGGTGAAGGATTAGCATTGCTTGATTTCAGACAAAACCAATCCTACCACTCTTGTGTAAATATGATCACTCATGTCACTCATTAGCTCACGTATAAATTGTCACTCGATGTGAATGTTTAAAAACTGGCTTCAGGAAGGAATGTGGCTAAAATATATCGCAAAGGTTTCTTAAATACTAAATGAGAAAAACCTATAAATAAAATAAATTTAAATGGCAGTTGAAAAGTTTTACATAATAGGCCCATGCATGGCATCTGAGGAAAAACACTTGACTTGCAACACTTTTTCTTAGTGAGACAGACCCTACTTTACTCTTTATATTTCTGCTGGTAACTAAGCAAATGAATTTGCATCTACAGCCATATACAGTTCATGTCTGGATACACGTACATTGGCAATTACTTGAGAGAAGGAACCATTTTGCGAAGACAAGATTTAGACATAAAGAGGAAGGTACACCAAGAGATGTACATCAGTTGCCAGGTTATCACACTTACTGAAACCAAAATGCCAATAATATCTCAGATATTCCCTTAAGAATGGTCTCAGTGAAGAAAATAACACAAAATGCTAAGATTTACATGTATTTATTTGAAGTCACGTGTTTAGAAATTCAGATTTTTTATCTCTATATTAAACATAATTTGCCAAATGACATGAATACATGTACCTTAATAATGGCGACCTTAGTATAGTAAAAGTTACTTTTTGTAGGAGGTCCCTTGAAACTTCATGTAGATTCAACTTGGCATTCAAGGTTAAATGTACTTCAACTTTAACTCAGACATTCTCAAATTGCAGTTTTTTCTGGCCTATGAAACTGACCAAAATATAATATTGTGTGGAGATGCAGTTACATGTACATGCTAAGTACATTTATAATATTGGGCGAAGGATTAAGCAGGCAGGAGGGCAACTGCTTTTCACAGGTGGGCAAGACTTTTTAAAAAAATGGAAAAACTTTTCATTACATGGTCAAACCAGGCAGGCAAAATTGTACTCGCAGCTGGTCAATTTTCCCCATGCCTGAGGTTCAGTTTCAAGTCTTTTGAATCAGGGCCACTTTGACCATCCTAAAACAAGTTATGTAGTCTGCAATACATGCCCAAGTTTATTGTGTCAAAAAAAAAGTACAACATGTAGGTTTGATCTGGAAGGAAAAAGCAAGAGCCCTAGGTGTAAACCTTTCTTTTAACCAAAATTAGGATTACACTGCTCTTTTGAGAATCTTAATTTTTGTTAAGAATTATTATTGTAGATTCATTGACAGTCATTTAACATTGCTGTTTGTTTTGGTGCACTGTAACTTGTGTTTCCACTCCTAAACATCTCACTGACTGATGACATTCAGTATCTCGTGACACCTGAGAGGCTTATGTTACTATGTTACAGTGTATACACTGTTAACTGTACAGAGTATATACAAGAGTGTTTAAACAATATTATAGAAATCAATCATAAGTATTATAGTTTCAGTAGGAAAGCTGTAATACAATTATTTAGCTTTAAAAACAGTTAAATTTCAATTGAGAGCAAATGGTCACAGTTGTATTATGGTTTACTTTCAGCAACTGAGATAACTTCTGTTGTGGTAAACCATTAATGAAGCTGTTAGATAAAAACAAGATTCATCCTTTAATCTGTCCTCATTGTGACATGGGATGCAAACGATGTAAGCTAGGTCTCAGATGAAAACTAGCCAGATTAAACTAAATTCAATTTTTGAACAAGCAATTTTTGTAAAAAAAAAAATTTATATTACTGTTCATACATTCCCAACCATGATTTGGAGCTTTAAAAGCACAGTCAATCCTTGCTTGCAACTTAATGTGAAGTCAAATGACAGTTAATGAAGGACTAAAAAATCTCACGTTGTAGTAAAAGCCGAGAGCTATCTATTAAAGGTAACACATTTTGCTGTCTGACTAAAATGATAACCTAGAGAGGTTACTGATATAATTAGATCTCCCTCACTTGTACCACAGTGGGCTATAGGTTTCCATTCTTAGCTTAGAGGCAGCTTACAGATGTACTGCTACAGCTAAATGCTCTAAACATTTCTTAACCCTTTAAGCCCTAGAGTCAAAATACAAATTCTCTTCACTGGTATACATACATTTTCTTATGGCACTAACTACAAGAATTTGTTGAAGATCGTAGAAATTTCTATTTGGCGATGATGTCCTTGATTCTCACTACCTTGTCTCTTGATTTATGTGTTGATACTGTCAGGAAAAATTTGATGCCGGTAACTCTTAGGGCTTAAATATGATTTCTAGTCTGTATTTCTAGTCTGCACATTTTCGGGAGTTTGTTTACATTGATTTGGTTTGATTCATGTAAGACATCACAAAATGTAACATTTCACAACTACTTACATGAGGTAATTTCAAGGTTTTATTTCAACCGTCATTATGGATGCAAAGCTTTATCCTTCATTCTTTCTGGTATCACTTGATGAAACAATTTCGTAGCTGTAAATAAAGTGCCTTAAAGATAAGGTATGTGGTTCGTAACAAATAACATTGATTTGCATTTCAGCAAGTGAGACTCACAAACATTGGGGTGCTGAGACTGCACAGTATAAACTGGAAATCACCTTTAAGCAGTTTTTTCCGAGTGTGCAATAGAATTAGTGCTTTATGTAATAAAATGAGTATGTGCATTTGAATAACACTTTCATTGATCAAAATGTCCAGTGCATATACCCCTATCCTTATCCAATCACGGGACAAGACAAGGATTAGTGGGAAAGAGGGAATTTGAGGCAAAAAGGGTCAAGAGGAAATGTTTAGAATTTCTCAGTCTCGGGCTGGCTAAGGAAAGTTAGTGAAGAATCGTGCTAACCCTGACATTGCAAAGTCATAACATGTCCATTATATAGAGTGAGCTCTTGCGATGTTTTGAAGAGGTCAAGGAGACTCCTACAAGTACATGGAGATTTGCCAAAATCAGCCACAACAAACAATATCTTGAAATAGAACCTTAAGGGCACAGGTAATATAGGTTGAGTTTCCTTCCATTCTTAAAGAACATTTTTGTTTGGCTGTAATTTTTCAAGACAACAGAGCACACAATATAAAGAATGCATGTTTTTCGGAAGAAAAATTGCACGAATATCAGGGCCAAAGCTTTTGTTATTCTTTATGCGAATTGCTGTACTAATTGTCATTATAATTTTAACCCATGAGGTATTTTTGAGAAAGTGAGGTCATTTTCTCAAATTCTCAACCAAGCTTTGGGACAAGGAAAATTAATGGCGGCCATAAATTCTCAGAAACAAAGGTCCAAAAAATGCAAGTTCTAATGTTTGTAATAGATTGAAATTCGGCAAGATATCTGGGAGAGACCTATTGTGCACAAAATTTAAAAAACGGGTATCAAGAATTTGATCATAGTGGCACTTTCACGGTTCTGTGATTCTCAAGAGAAACCAGATGCTTCTAGGGAGAAGAGAAGGATCTTTAAAGAAACGAGTCAAGTGGTGGTAACCTTCCTTTGACTGTTACTGTAACTAAAGTGCTACATACATGTGCTCTGGCTTCCTGGATGCTAAGAATGAAGTTGCATAACAACATGAATGGCTCAAAGCTGACATGATTCATAAGGGCTTGTTCAAAGATTGTCGAGACCCACCAGCAGGTACAGGCTGTAATGGAAATTTTGATCTGGAAAGACACGCCAGGTTCAGGGATGTTTGACAACATTATGTGCCAATCACTTCTCAGCTTTAACAATCCTCCTCCCCCCCGCTCCACTCCGGGCAACACACGGAAATTTGACACAAAAAAACCTTCCCGGGTATGGGGAATTTGAACCTTGCCTGGGTGGGGTGGGAAATTTGAACCGGAAGTGTCAAATTTGAACGAGCCATTCTTCAAAAGTTTAAATGCCCCGGGGATTGTCCAGGATGGTGAGTGTTGAAGCTTCGAACTGACCGGCGCATTAAACTGTGGTTAAAATTGCTATCATTGCAAATCACTGTCCTCGCCAGCTCTGAAGTCATAAGGTCTGAGATTTTGCTACGGTGCGAAAACTTATCGGGACCTTCGATAAACGGGGCCCTGACCAGCACTGCCTTGATCATAAACTGGTAAGCTAAAATGCCAATAACTATAATTATACCGGGCTTCAGCGTACAAGATCCAGGGTCACTTGACCTCTTGGCCCACGTATTTCTAAAAATGTTCACAAGAATTTAGACACTTACCGTAGAAAACTGGCAATGGTATATGTAAAAACATCCGCCCAACTTGTAAAACGCAATTAAAACGGCAATAAATTGCTGAAAGCAAGCGCACAACACAACTTCCAGCTTCAATTCAAAACATGGCTGACTAAAGAAAAACTAGATCTCAGACTACTCTCGGTCACCTATAGTTGCGCATTGAAGAACGCGCGCAAAAATATTTCCCGCGTATTTGCAGAGAGCTGCGTTTAACATCGAAAGAAACTTCTCAAATGACATCTACTGTCATTCGTTATCGTGATAATGAGGCTTCTTCAATCTTCAAGTAGCTTTGCCAATCCTCATGCCGTTATACTTCGTCACGAGTGGTGTCAAATTACCTTATGATTATGACGTTGCTTCGTAGTACTGCTCTATTGTGCAAAGCTGCGAAGAATAATGGCATTTTTACTTCAAAGTTTAAAAGACTTTGCAGACAATCGTTACTTTTTACTTGGAGTTGGCGCCGCTTTGGGGACTGGTGCACTGCTCGCACTCGGCTATTGTTACCGCCGGTAGAAACGCGACATGAGTAGCTTTCCAAATCTTACGAACAACCCAACTATCACGGGAAAACTTCTGACACCTGATATGTTCTCCATACTGAAAGACAAGTGTACTTCAAAGGGGTATGACATTGATAATCTCATCGAGTCTAGCCAACACAATCTGTCGACAAATTTCACTTCAATCCCGAATTCCGCGGGATTGCTGGCGCGCGATGAAGAATGTTACGATCTGTTCAGTGAGCTTATTGACCCTGTTATTGGCGAGGTTCATCAAATTGATGAGATGAAGAATTTAAGGTCAGAGGTGAACTTGAACTGGGAGCAGATCAAAGGTGGAAAGCT